TACAGCCTCACATTACAGTTTAAAATGTATAATGGACTTGTCTCCCGCACAGAAACAAAAATGGTAATGGGGGTTCCTCTGAACCTCTGATCAGGGAAGAATGTGGGACCGTGTTAGAAGAGAAACAGGGAAGCATGTATAGCCTTTGGCATGGGAGGGAAATGGCTGATAATGGTAGGGGAGTACAAAGCCCCTGGCATAGATGGGGAGATAAGGGGCATACAGAGCACTTGACATGGAGTGAGTAGGAGTGCATCCATGAAATAAGAGTGAATGGGAGGATGGCACCCAGGACCGTCCCTAAAGGGAATGCGTGACTCGATGCAGTCCCCCTGCCCCAGGCTCCACCCTCTCTTCCAAACATCCCTCCTGCCCCCACTGCACCCTTCCCCTGAGACATGTGACCCAGGGATTACTTGGAGGGGCCTGGAGTGGGGCAGACACAGAACTTGCTTCCTCCTGGGCCCCACACTTGCCACAGCAGCAGGAGCTGGACCTACTCTGCCTGTCTCCCACTGCAGCAGTGGGAAGGAGAGAGCCCCAGCCTGTTCCCCTGAGGTTTCTCTGCTTGCCGCTGCCACAGTGAAGTTGAGCACATCAGGTTGGGATATGACGGTGGGGTGAAGCAGGCTGCTGTTTTCACTTCTCATGGCTCCCATTGACATGGTTAGTATGGGAGTGGAGATGTCCAACCTTTGTTATTGCATGTTCCAGTCCCATCCATAGGACTATTGAGGTGATGAGGAATGGAGGAAAGCAAAAAGCCACTGCTGTGTGCAGTTAGCCTGGCCTGCAGAAGTTGCAAAGTATTCATGTTCTTCTGTCAAGATGTTTTTTACATCACTATCATGATTTTACTTGCATCCAAGTCTTTGTGGTTTTTCTGCTCCCTGTCTGATTTCACTGTCACAACTTTTGCAGCCTCATCTGCATGCTCTCAGTTTCTGGGGTCAGCTGAACTAATATTCTGTCTTCTGGGTACCTCTTTGATAGCCCTTAAATCTGAAAAGTCATTTTCATTTATGCACGCCGTTTTGACATGAGCAACTATATCTATGATCCTCTTTGAATGCAAGAGGTAGTCTTGGAATAGTGGAAAACAATATTTTTCTAAACCCAAATATACTTTGTCACAATGTAATACAGTATTGCTTACAACCACCAGTCTTGATGACTGATTTTCAGGGTATTCTTTGGTCTTTGAAGCCACTGAGCATGTAACCACAGTTCCCACAGAAAGCTTTACAATAGAATAGTAGAACTTGGGCTAGTGCCAGTGTGTACCAAGCTGAAGAAATGAGGCTGTTAAGGAGGGGAGAATAAAGAAACAAAGCAACCCTATAGCAGTCAGCCTTGAGAACAGGAGTGGGCAATAATTTTTGAAGAGGGGCTACATCACAAATTTCACAAGTGGCTGTGGGCCAACCCGGAAGGGGCAGAGTTGAGAGCTACCCTACCAGGAACTTTGCTTGGCCTGGGGGGGGTCCCTGCCCCTGACTTCTGGCCAATGGAACGGACCTGGAACAGATGGGAGGATGCTGTGGGCTAGCCTCCTTTACAGAGTTGTCTGAAGTGGAGGCTTAGAATTCACATAACAGGGCTCGCAGCTCCTGGCCCCCGCTACTAACCTGTTGCCTGGCAGTTACCCAGCAGGCACAAGCCCTTTGAACAGAAGCAGTTGAAAGGGATCACGCCTCCCGGGCAACTCCCAGGCAATGGGCCAATGGACCGAGAGCCCTTTCAATTGCTTCTGTTTAAAGGGCTTGTGCCTGCCAGGTGTTTGCCAAGCAGCACAGCTCCCAGCACCTCTAGCACATTGCCTGGGAGACAGGACGTGTGAGCCCTTTTAACTGCTCCTATTTAAAGGGCTCTTGTGTTTCCTGAAGCTGCCAGGCAACATGTTGCCCGACAGGCAAAAGAAAGGTGCGAGCCCTTTAAATAGAACCAGTTAAAAGGGCTCTCACGTCTCTGGCTCCTAGGCAATGTGCTGGGGGTGGGGCCTGGAACTGCCTCGTGGGCCGGATCAAAGCCCTAGTCAGGCTGGATCTGCCCACTGAGAGGCTATTGTCCACCCCTGCTTTAGAGGTAAGTTTGTAATAGACTTCCAGAAACACAGCTTTTCATCCTCAACAGAATTCCCCTATATCTAAGACCCAAAACTTTTACTAGTTAAAATGACAATGGATTCATTTATTTCTGTTGGGTCAGTTTCTTTTTATTATTTAATGAAATTTACATTTCCCTGGGTGTTTTTCATTTTATGGGTTGGTTATGAAATGAACATTTTCTTGTCATTGCTGTAATGTTCATGGAATGCATGACTTGTGAAACACTGAACCTTAACTTATCACTGTTTCATCTCTCCTGTGTCACTGGACCAGGTATTGGTATAATTAAAAAGGCAAAGCCACCAGACTCCTTGTTGTTTAAGGCTGTCTAGTTCTCCCTGCTCTGATTTGCAGATTTCCATTACCTTAATTTTTAACTTCCCTTTTCCTCTGACCTTCCCTTTTCTGAAGTTGAGTTCTTTTTCTTCTGTTTGGCCCATGATGACACACATGGATCCTTGCATTAAAGATTTTTTACAACTTACATTTAGTTCTGGGCCCTATTTCATTGCAACGAACCCAGAGCTTTCAAGTGCAAGTGTTGGGAGAGGAAGGAGTGCTGCTGTAGCCTTGGCAGGATGGTTGGATACATTATAGCCACTTTAATAGCCACCCAACAGAACATTGGTGCTGCTGTTTGTGCCTCCCTTCCATCCTCTTTTTGCCTGCTACTTCTAATATCTCATTTTGAGTTCCTGAGGTCCTATCTGCAAATACAGGCTGTCACAAACTCAGGGCCTCTGCAAAAAATGTGTTTTGGGACTAATGAATTTATTGAGAAATGAAAACTACCTTAATTTGTGTTTATGCTCTGAACTTTGTGTGTACTTGAATGTTTCCTTTATTGTGTTTGTTTCGTGTGTGCTTTCTGGATGCTTGCCATCTTTCTTCTTTGCCAGTAACTTAATATTTTTATATGCCAAAGTAGTCTGTTCTAGAAATATGGGAGAGGGAGTGACTTTGTACTTTAAATGAAGGACTGTTGTTAGCACACAAGTTTTATAAACTATTTTGAGGGGAAAAAAGTTCTTCAGAAATCTGGTTTCAAGAAATCTAATTGCTTCCATAAAAGGTTTATCTAAAATAATAATCTCTAGTATAATAAAATTGTCAAATACCATACAAAACATGTTGGTTCAGCTACTGTATATGGAGTGAAACATCAAGGCTAAAATGACTGGATTTTTTACTTGTGCTTGGGCACATATCTTTCAGTCTTAGTGGAGCAACTGCAGATATGCTTGAAGAGTCTTCATTTGTTAGACAAAGATCCCAGCAATGTATGCTCTATGTTGTTTTCTATACTATAAAGTCCCAGGTTTAGTATCCTAAAGTGAAAAAAGTTGTAATGTTTTTATTTTGAGATGAAGGGTGTTCTCATGGCTAAGGCAGTGGTTCTGAGAAAATAGAATTCAGTTTCCAGCTTTGCCATAAGTGTCCCTTAGGTAAGCCAGTTAATCTTTCTGTGCCTCAGTTCCATCTCCCTCTAAAATGGAGGATAACAACACTTCCCATCCCTTAACGGTGGTTCAGAAGATGGATCTATTAATAGGTCTAGGGTACTAAGATACTATAGTGATGGGAATGCCAGGTAAATGCTTAGCTTGATGTTCTCCAGTAATATAAAAGCTTTAGAGGGCTAGCCGAGTTAGTCTATAACTGGAAAAACGTAAAAAAAAAAAAAAACCCCGAATACAGGCAGTCCCCGGGTTACATGGATCCGACTTACATCGGATCCCTACTTACAAACAGGGTGAGGCAACCCTGCACTAGCTGCTTCCCCCCAGCAGACCAGGCAGATGCAGAGCGGCTTTTCTCAGCAGACACCTCAGCTTGAGAATAAAGGACTGAGGGAAGAGAGATGTGGGAGAATAAAACTGAGCTCTGGAGTAATGTTTGGCTAGAGTGTCCCCTACAATATGTACCAGTGCCGACTTACATACAAATTCAACTTAAGAACAAATCTACAGTCCCTATCTTGTACGTACCCCGGGGACTGCCTGTAGTCTAGTAGCACCTTAAAGACTAACAAAACATGTAGATGGTATCAAGAGCTTTCTTGGGCAAAAACCCACTTTTTCAGATGATTGGAGTATTAAAAGTCCAGATCCAAGAATAAATACTTAGAATACTTACAGCCAACTCTATTAGGCTCATGTAGCATGGACACTAATTGACAAACATTTTTTTTCTCAATTTTTCCCCTTCTCTTTCCCTCCACATCCCCTCTCTTTCTCTATTTATTTGCAACCTGGACCCCTTTACTCCATCTGAAGAAGTGGGCTGTGCCCATGAAAGCTCATGATACCATCTACATTTTTTGTTAGTCTCTAAAGTGCTTCAGGACTATTCATTTTTTTTTAATTTTTTCCAATAGTATAGTTGGTAATACTTTTAAGATTTACAGGTATAAATATAGAAAATTAATGGAAATGTGCTTAGAATCTTGGAAATCTGGACTAATAGATTCAGCAAATTAGTCAATTTAATTTGGTAATTATGTGATACAAATTAAAAGATTAATGTCTAGTATTCGTTAAAGCTGTTAATCAGACTTTTGTAACATAGGCAAAAACACAATTCCCTTAATCTTTCTAAAAGATAACAGCATCAGATGAGACTTGTTACTGCTTGTTTAGTTCTATCTATGCCTAAGTATAAACAAACTGACCAGAAATTCTGAGCTAGATTATGGTATAGGTGCATAAACTACAATTACAACTCTCATATTTCATAAGATGCTTTACTGTAAAATGTATGTATTGTACTACATAAATGCTATTTTGAGAATCCCGTTGCTTATTAGAACTTTCTAAAGAGGCCAAGATTTTGCAAAATTAAATATAAAAAATGTTAGAGAAAAGCTAAATAAAATCCTCTCTTCCTCCACAGTACGAAAAATGAAAAACCAACGTTGCAGAACAATGAGGTAATTATTTCTCGTTATTTTTGTATTTTAAATAATACCAATAAAATGTGGTTTAAATTTAATTAATCCTCTTCTTCCAAAAAATGAACTCTTTGTACTCTTTCCAAATCTGAGTGATAGCAGTTGTACAACTAGTGCAGTTTAGGAGGATGCGTAGTGGTGATTGGTTTCTAGATTTGATTACTGGATATTTTTGGCTTTTAAGTACTGAAACTACCAGACTTCAATGCCTTCAGATCCTTTAAAGTTGATTTTTTCAAAGGGGAAAAAATATTTATGCCTTTTTGCTTTCATAAAGGTATATAAGCATGTCCTGAAAGGCTGGTTGGTTGATTTATTTATGTCTTTTATTAGATATTCAGATCTTGTGTGCTTGGGAAAACTATAATCACTGAAGTAGTGAAATTATAATAAGAAAAGAAAAACTGAAGTTGCATCTAAACTACATCCATCTGTCAGCAGAGGGATGTAAATTAGACGTATTGAAAGTGCAAATAAAGCTGGGATTTAAATATCCTCCACTTCATTTGTATAATGGCGGCCGCCGCTTTTTTTGAAACAGGGCTTTTCGGAAAAGAAAACGAAAAAACCAAACACCCTGGTAGTTTAAACGTAGTGTTTTCTACTGATCCTGTCATTTAAACTGCTATGTTTTTCGAAAAGCCCCGTTTCGAGAAAGCGGCGGCTGCCATTATGCAAATTAAGCACGGGATATTTAAATCTCAGCTTCATTTGCACTTTCGATATGTCTAATTTACAGCCCTCTGCTGATAGAGGGGTGTAGTTTAGACGTAGCCTGAGAGAGAAAGGAGTTTCTTAGCTCCTGTAAAATTTTAATGTCTATTAAATGTTTACAGATTAAGCATGTTTACCAAAAAACTTCACTAATTAGAATAATAAAATGACAGTGGGCAGACCATCTTAGCATATTATCAATGGGTAGTAAAGTGCAATGTTGCAGGCATAGGCATGCACAGCACATTTCATTAGGGTGTGCACCCAAAGAATTTTTTTTAAATGTCCTTTGACCCCATTAGCCACACCTCTGACCCCCTGTTAACCATGCCCCTGACTCCCATTGATCACACCTCTGGAGGTAACACTCTCTGGGCAAGAGGGACACATGACCAGAAGTAAAAGGTGTCATGTGACCCCCCCTCTAAGGACTTTTCCCACCATCCTCCTACCAATAGGGATTAGTTTGCCCCCCCATCCCCAGCTTCCCCTCATGCAACTATCCTGCAGTTGCATTACCCCAATGTATGTGACATTAACTTGGGGGCGGAGAGGCTGGGGGAAGTGTTCCTTCTAAGAATTTCCTCCCATGAGCACAATGAATTTTGTGTTGTGCTCCAGTACTGAGTTCATGTGGCTTGTTTGGATGTGCCACTGTGGCACCCTAGTTATTAATAAATATCTCATAAACCTCTACCTTTTCCCTCTGCTGCCATGTCTCCTTCCCTTGCTCCATCGGCTCCCCTGGTGCCTGCTGCCCCCCCAAACCCTCACCCTCCTCTGCTGCCCTGACTCCTGCCCTCAGCCTTCCTGAGAACTGCCCTCCTCTACCAGCCCTTCTCTCCCCCTTGTGCCACTCCTCCAGTAGCCCCATTCTGATCATGTGAGCTACCCCTCCTCATCCCCTCTCCTAACACCTTCCTCT